CATCAAGGCGTCAGAGAACACGCGCAGAGAAAGTTGTTTTTCATGAGTCGCCTGTGCGCTCTCTTAATGCAGCAAAGATGACAAGGCAGGGGGCGAAGGAGCAGTTGGGGACAGAGGGGACGGAAGGATGAGCTCCTTTATGGCCTCGCTCCTGGCAAGGGGTGCCTGGTTTGTGCTGCGCCGCGCTTGCCCGTTGCCATGGCACCCCGCTCGCGCGCTCCCGGAGGTGTAGTCTTGATATAATTAACAGCCCCGCTCCTCCTGTCTGCTGCAGAAAGCAGTCATTAAATGAACATGAGGGAAAGAAAAGTCGCTTTTTATCTCGTAGTTGTTCTGTTGGTGTTTTTCACCCGCCTGTCTTATCTCCCTCGCCGCGGTACTGCTACCGTCTACGCACGAGAGCGTCACGGGAAGACGGGGCGGCTGCCTGCGCCACGCGGGACGTGGGGGCTTCCGATGCACTGGTTTAAACAGAGGATTTTGTTAGGCTGGAGTGCAGCTCAGCTAGGGGTTCATAAAGGTTAGTTATTTTCTAGATATAAAATCGTGGTCTTCAGGAAAGAGCAGGTTCGTGAGGATGTGGTTTATGGATTCTGCTGCTGGTTCTAGTGGACCTTGAAGAGGGCTTCCTGTAGAGACTTATTTCAAATATTGCTACAGAGACTGAGAAAGAAAATAGGAATGGTTTAATTAAAAAAAAATGGTTAATTGAATGCGCGGCTTAATTAAAACCCACAATATTGAAGAGAACTAGGAGTGGTAATAGAGTAGAATATGGCTGGCCATCACTGAGGCAGGATGTGACATGTTGTGCTCTGTCTGCAGCCCATGTGTAAGGACGTCCTTTTCTGTTAAGGAAGATTCTGACTTGCCTCCCATCAGGGTACCAAATTCAGATGTAAGATTAATTAAAAAAAAAAAATGCAACAGTTACATTGCCAGGCTCTTTCATTAGGAAACTTGCTTTGGGAAGACTCTCGCTTTCCATTTTATGGAACATCTGATGGTTACTTTTTCCTGCACCACCGCCTGCAGTGAGCCCTCTCATAAGGCATATCAGTCAGGCTCCTCTAGGATTTCTTTGTTTTTCAAAATGTTTCAAAAACATTTGAAAACAATAAAAAAGAAGGAAAGTCTCGGTTTAGTTATCTGGCTTATGACTTTGCCGATAGCGTCTATAGAGTAAAAAATTCTTATCTTTTGTCTTAACGCTCAATTTCTTTTTGCTGTTGTTGTCTCTTTACTGAAGAGAGATTTTTCTCAATAATCTCTCTAAGAAATTTCTCGCATTTTCATTACTTCTCTATGAAGGCTATCGTGGTTCCTACTTTCTAGCATTTTCTTTTTTGCATTAGTTTTTAATATGAGAAGGGTTTGTCTATAGTAGCTGTGAAGCTGAGTGGTCTCTGTGAGGAGGAGTATGCTGAAATAGGGAATGGTATGCTGAAGGTTCAAGCATGTAAGGAAAGTGCTTTGGACCCCTATATATGTATTAATCAGAAATGCCACAACCTACACATTATGCATGCTAATTCATTTAAATTTTGGCCTTATGCAAACTCCATAGCCCACTTTTTCTAGGTAACTTAAAGAATAAAAATTGAGATATTGGGCATTTATGAAAGTAATGGACTGTTTTTGTCAACTTCTGTTTTGCATGTCATTTGGCTATCAGTTTCTCTTTAATGTTTATTC